CTTCTGATACTTCTGGTCACCAAATATGCAGGTTTTTCTTCCTGCACCCAGCTATTCAGAAACTCCAGCCTGGTGTCCTACAATTTAACTCAACTCTGATGCTATCTGACTGGAGTTAGCATCAGGTCCCACAGTGGAAGGGCATCACCACTGTGAAGAGGAAAAGCTATAAACTGTATTCTCTTCAGAATAAGAATTTTATTTATTTATTTTTAAAGATTTTATTTATTTATTCATGAGAGGCAGAGAGGCAGGGGGAGAAGCAGGCTCCCCAAGGAGCAGGGAGCCCGATGCCAGACTCGATCCCAGGACCCTGGGATCATGACCCGAGCTGAAGGCAGACGCTTAACGACTGAGCCACCCAGGCGCCCCAGAATAAGAATTTTAGACCAATAAACATGTGAAAAGATAAAGGAAGATACTGGAAATGTAACACAAGAACACAAAAACATCAAAAAGAACCAATCCGAAACACTAGGTTGAATATATAATCGTTGACTAAAGAACAATATTCAAATATTCTGTTGATTGAACAGCAGAATGAGCACAGTTGGGGCACCTGGGCTCAGGTCATGATCTCAGGGTCCTGGAATTGAGCCCCACATTGGGCTCCCCGCTCATCGAGGGAGTCTGCTTCTCCCTCTGTCTGCCACTCCCCCTACTTGTACTCTCTCTCTCTGATAAATAAATAAAATCTTAAAAAAATAAATAATCTGGCAAGGTCAACTCTTTCAGTTCAAGGTAAATGACTCCCACATCAGCCTTTGGAAAGCACCTTTTATCTTTTCCTTTCTCTGAGATTTTCCTGCATTTCTCAGGCTCAGGGAGTTCTGTGCACCAGCTGTCAAGTGGTTCCTGGGGCAGGGTGTGGGGGATGTGGGGTGTGGGGGTTAAAGTAGAGGCTGAGAACCGCTCTAACCTTGGGGTATACAGGGCCCTGGGAGCTGCTGATCATCCCTGGCATCTGAAAGGGCACCTCTGTGTGGGCAGGGAAGAGATGGTCTGAATCATCAGTACAATCCCTCCCTTGGAAATACATTTCCTCCTCTTTCCTAGTCACCTAGCAAAAACCCAAGTATGGATGAGTCCCATACCTGCCTTTTAAACCTGCCTGGACTCAACTGCCAGCATAAAAAAACACACAACAAAGTTGACCGGTTTCATTTTAAATTCATAATCACACAACTCAAAACCACAAAACACTGCCTTACACTTCTATTCCATTTTTCTAGGAGGAGATTGACTTCTTTTCTTTTCTTTTCTTTTCTTTTCTTTTCTTTCTTTTCTTTTCTTTTTTCTTTTCTTTTCACAAAACCCACCCCCACCTTGACCCCACATCTCTTTCTTGTTAGTGTCCCACCTCCCTGCTTCCCTATATAATGAAACACCTCCAAAGGGTGGTCTGCACGTTGGCTCAACTTCAACTTCTTCACTCTTTGGGGGTAGGGGAGGAAGATTCCAGACCCTCTTTAAAAAAGAAATAAAATGTCACAGTTACGGTTGGGCTTCCAGTTTTGTTTTTTTTTTTTAAGATTTTATTTATTTATTTGACAGAGAGAGAGAGACAGCGAGAGAGGGAACACAAGCAGGGGGAGTGGGAGAGGGAGAAGCAGGCTTCCCGCCGAGCGGGAGCCCGATGTGGGACTCGATCCCAGGACCCTGGGATCATGACCTGAGCCGAAGGCAGACGCTTAACAACTGAGCCACACAGGCATCCCTGGGCTTCCAGCTTTAAAAGGCTTTCCTCCCCAAACCCCTCTAAAAGGATCACAAATGAATAAAAACGGTGTGAACCCACAAGACAAAGAGGGTGAAAGAGGAGAGCAAGCAGAGACACGGCCCCCAGTGTTTAAACCATGAACAGCTGATCATGACTCATAACTCAGTAGAGAAGCTGAGACCTTGGTGCCCTGGGGACCAAGGCAGGCTCTCATCTGTGGGGACCCAAGCACAGATGAGAGCCTGCCTACTGGGAGGAATGAAGTGGACGTCGGCATAGGACGCTTTGGAAACCGCAACCCCACCCTTGAGGGGAGCTCGGTGAAGCCCCAGACATGCATCTGGCTTTCTGGGACAAGACATTTGAGGAAAGCTTCTACCATGAAAGGCAGACACCTACAAAAACAAACCAGGGACAAAAGGAGACAACACAAAGAAACAAAGAACTCTGAAGCATGTTTACCAATCCACTAACTCTCTGGACCCCAAAGTGCTACTTTCTGGCAATGTGTGGCCTGGGCGCCCAGGTCTGGACAACTTTTCTCCTCTGAGATAGGATTTTGCAGGGGCGCCTGGGTGGCTCAGGCGGTTAAGCATCACACTCTTGATTTCGGCTCAGGTCATGATCTCGGGGTTGTGAACTTGAGCCCCGGGTTGGGCTCTGTGCTGGGCATGGAGGCTGCTGGGGATTCTCTTTCCTCCCTTCCCCCCATTCTAAAAAAAAAAAGAGAGAGAGAGAGAGAAATTGGCTTTTGTAGCAATGAGGCAGCCCCTGGGGACCCTAGGTCTCAGAGGGAGGGTCTAACACTCAAATCCTAACCTCTTGTTCTGAACTCCTGCCCTTGGTTCTTTAGTCAACCTGTTATTCCCTTTGCTATGGTCAGAACGTTTGTGTGCCCCCCGCCCAAATTCCTAATGCCCAATGTGATGGTGTTAGGAAGGGGGGCCTTCGGGAGGTGCTTAGATCATGAGGGTAGAGCCCTCATGAGTGACACTGGTGTCCTAATAAAAGAGACCCAGAGAGAGATCCCTCGCCTCTTCAATCCAGTGAGGACACAGGGAAAAGGTGCTGGCTGTGAACCAGGATAAGGGCCCTGAGCAGTAGGCAACCATGCTGGGGTCTTGACCTGGATTTTCCAGACCCCAGAACTAAGGATAAATAAATTGCTGTTGTTTATAAGCCAGCCAGTCTGTGGTATTTTGTTATGGCCGCCCGAAGGGACTAAGACACCTTCAAAAACCTCTCCTGCCTGTTCTAGGCCTAACTAGCTCCAGGAAGCAAAGTCTAGGGCTCCGGAAGGGGGTCAGACACTGCCAAGGGGAACTGAAGCAGGAGCAGGAAGCCAGGCCCACAAGGATGTGTACAGTGCAATTCCATTCACCTCACATTCTGGAAATGCCAAAGCTGCAGGGACAAAGAAATCAAATCAGTGCTCATGAGAGCATGGCGGTGGGGGAAGGGAGGGCAAAAGGGGCACCAAAACCCATTTTGGAGTGATGAAAATGCTCTATATCTTGATACCTGTGGTTGCCATACGATTACACACTTTTGTCAAAATTCTTTAAACTGTCCGCTTAAAAAGGGTGTAATTTTTTTTTAAATTATGAAGTAAATTAAAATTTTTTTTAAAGATTTTTATTTATTTATTTGAAAGAGAGAATGAGAGAGAGAGAAAGAGAGAGCACATGAGAGGAGGTAGGGTCAGAGGGAGAAGCAGACTCCCTGCTGAGCAGGGAGCCCGATGCGGGACTCGATTCCGGGACTCCAGGATCATGGCCTGCGCCGAAGGCAGTCGCTTAACCAACTGAGCCGCCCAGGCGCCCGAAGTAAATTAGCATTTTAATGCATGTAAATTATACCACAATAAAGCCGACTTTTTAAAAGAAAAAAAGAAAAGAGATGGGAAGTCAAAGGGAGATCAGACCGTGTGGGTTCAAATCCCACCTACCACTTGCGAACTGTGCTGTAGTCTTGAGCAAGGGAGTTACTTCATCTCTGACTCTGTTTCCCCCTCTCTCAAATGGAACTATTAACAGATCAATCTTCCAGGGTGGACATAAGGATTATGTAAGAAAATGTCCAGGGGCACCTCGCTGGCTCAGTCTGTGGACTGTGGGACTCTTGATCTCGGGCTTGTGAGTTCCAGACCCATGTTGGGTGTAGATTACTGAAAAATAAAATCTTGGGTTGGGCGGGGGGGAAAGAAAGAAAATGCCCGTAAAGCGCCTGGCTCATGGCTCGAGTGCAGGCTTCCAGCTTTGAGGCAGCGCCCTCCAAGCTACTCGTGTTCCCATCTCTAGGGTGCATCCCTCTCGGACGAACCCGCTCCCTCGCGGAAGCAGAGGCCAGAGTCCCTGACACCCTCACTGTCTTGCTCTGTGATTTGGGGGAGTGGGGCTTGAAGAGCGCGTCGCCAGCTTGTAAGGGGAAGCTCCGCAGCGCCCCCACGCGGTACTGGGTTGACCTAGCTCCGACTGCAGGCCCGCGGCTCCGACGGCCCCCAGGGGGGCGTGTCCGGGGCGGGGGCGCGTGCTCACTTAGGGAAAGGGGGCGGGGCCGCGCCTGGGCCACGGAGGCACCCGGAATTGTCGCGGGGGCGTGGCTGAGGCCCGGTGGGGGCGGAGTCCCGGCGTGGTGGAGGGGCGGAGCGGGGGCGGAGTCAGGGTGGCTGCGTCTGTCTGGCCAGTAAACATCTCCCAGCCCAGGCTCTGGACCAAGTCTTGGGGTTGGCACAAGGAGAAGCAAAAGCTTTAGGCACAGGCCCTGGCTTGTCCACCTTGCTCCCCGCAAGTGCTACCCTTCTTTCCCTCTAAGGTCAGAACAGTTCCCACCTTCCAGACTCTGAACCCCTCTCACCCACCTCTCTTTAGAATTTACATTAATTATGCACAGTTTGGCCATATCTTGTAAATATGAGTTGGATTCTTTTTTAACTCTACAAGAGATGCCGTATTTGTTTTATTTTTTTATTTTTAAAGATTTTATTTATTTATTTATTTGAGAGAGAGAGAGAGCACACATGAGGGGGGGAGGGTCAGAGGGAGAAGCAGACTCCCTGCTGAGCAGAGAGCCTGATGCGGGACTCAATCCAGGGACTCCAGGATCATGACCTGAGCCAAACGCAGTCGCTCAACTAACTGAGCCAACCAGGCACTTCCATATTTGTTTTTTTTTAAAGCCAACAGTAAAAAAAAAAATCAAGTAGTATAAAGGATACACATTGAAAAAGGAAGTTGTCTTTCCATCCTTGATCCTTTTTTTTTTTTTTAAGTAAGCTTTACACCCAAACTGGGGCTTGAACCCAGGATCCTGAGATCAAGAGTCACATGCTCGACCGACTGAGCCAGCCAGGTGTCCCCCATCCTTGATTCTTTTTTTTTAAAAGATTTTATTTATTTATTTGAGAGAGAGAATGAGAGAGTGAGAGAGAGAGCACATGAGAGGGGGGAGGGTCGGAGGGAGAAGCAGACTCCCTGCTGAGCAGGGAGTCCGATGATCCCAGGACTCCGGGATCATGACCTGAGCCGAAGGCAGTCGCTTAACCAACTGAGCCACCCAGGCGCCCCCCGTCCTTGATTCTTACTTAATTCCCTCCTCCAAAGGATACCTCTGTTACACGCTTTTGTGACCTTTCTCTTGTTTTTGTTAAAATCGATTATAAATTCAAATAAAAGAAACATGCCTTTATAAAAAGTTGCTAAGTGTGAAGTGAAACAACACATAGGCGTAAAGGCGGCTTAGAGGAGATTTTCCTTACATGGAGATTGGACTGGGGGAAGTTTCTTGAAGTAGAAGTCCAATGACCCTGGAATTGAGGACTTCTCTGCCTGATTCATTTTCCACTAAAAACACAGGCATTCTTTCCTGCTCAGAGGACTTCCTTTTTTTTTTTAAAAGATAGAATTTATGTATAGTTCACCGATTTGAAGTGTACAATTCAATGGTCTTCAGGATATTTACGGAGTTGTGCAACTGTCATCACAGTCAAATTTAGGACATTTTCATTTCCCCCCCAGAGAAGTCCTGTACATTTTAACTCCCCATATGCCCCCAGCCCTGTTGCCCTCAGCAACCACTAATCTATCTCCTGTCTCCATAGATTTCCCTCTTCTAGACATTTCACATAAATGGAATCATGCAATATGAGATCTTTTGTGACTGGCATCTTTCACTTAGCCTAATTTTTTCGAGGTGTATCCATGTTGTAGCATGTGAAACTGCTTCATTCCTTTTTATGGCTGAATAACATTCCATGGTATGGAAAGACCACGTTTTATTTATCCATTCATCAGTTGATGGATGTTTGGGTTGTTTCCACTTGGCCATTATGAATAACACTGCTGTAAACATTTGTGTACAAGTGTTTGTGTGGACATACATTTACATTCCTTTGGAAATAAGTGGGGTAGCTGGGTCATATGGTAACTACATATTTATTTATTTATTTATTCATAATCTCTACACCCAACGTGGGGCTCGAACTCAGAACCCGGAGATTAAGAGTCACATGCTCGGGCGCCTGGGTGGCTCAGATGGTTAAGCGTCTGCCTT